CAGCTTTCTATCACACTTAGAATATAACTCACACCCCTTTCCAAAGCTTTCAAGACCCTACACCATTTGGCCCCCAGGTACCTCTCCAATTTTGTTTTCTATTGATTCCCTTTAGCTCGCTCCATCCAACCACACTGGCCTCAAACGTACCAGTTGCCTTTTGGTCTTAAGACTTTGCACTTGCCATTTCTGTGCTTGGTGTGCTCTTCCCTGGATGCCTATGTGGCTTGTTCTCTCACAGCTTATCAATCACCCTGCCTCCATCACTCCCTACAGCCTTGCCTTGCTTAATTAATCACAGCATTTACTACCAGGTGACTTATTAGATATATTTGCTTCTTTTTTTATTGTCTATTTACCATCTCTCCATTAAAATAGAACTCCATAAGGGACTTTGTTTATCACTGTGCCCATAGTACTCAGAGAAGTTTTTGGTACATGGTAGATATTCAATAAACACTTGCTGAATGACTGAATGAATGAAAGTGCTGGTGCTTACTTCAAATACTAGAATTTTGAGTGGTACACTTAAGGATATCCTTGTGGCCAATTTGGGGAATGGTGGTGATGTCTAACATTCAATTTCAGGTGTAGCTTGTAAAGTGTGTGTCATAGGTAATATCATATCTTTCCATTACCCCACCTTCAGCTAACTTTCTCTCCACACAGAACTTGTGGTAGTAATGACTTGGGGCAATATGACATCCTCCAGGGGAGCGCCAGGAACCCTGGGGGCACATCCACTGCCAGAGTCCAAGCACAGCCCAAGGGAGTGAGGGTCTCCCCTGAGATTTCTAGAAAACTTGGAGAGAAGACTAGACTTTCTACAGAATGAGAGATGGAGGCTCATGTCATTCTATGGAGAATTAGAAGAAGGAGTGACTGAGTAGAGCTGAAGGCACCTCCCAGTGGGGGAGGGGGAACATCGGCATTGCCCTTTTTCTGATGATCTACCAGAAATCTGGAGAAATTTTCCCAGTAAAGGGGAAGTTTTGACAACAGTGAGAAAATCATCACTGAGGTGATGCTCTCCCACCTTCCGGGTGAGCTGTGAGCACAGCCTACCCACTTAGCTACCTGCATTGCCATGGCTGGTTGGCTTCTGAGTAAATGCTCAAGGTCCCTGGCACCAGCAATGGCTATATTGTTTCTGAATAGGGTTTATTTCTGAGTCTGAACACCATAGGGAATAGGGCTCTGATGCCCCTTTTCTGGGATTACCTCATTCTGTTTTTGGATGATCCAAACACTTGAAAAAGAAAAAAAAAAAAAAACCAAAGTAAAAATTTATCTCTACTAACACCAGAACTTACCCAGATCCCTTTGAAAAATGTAATTTAGCATGTGGGCCCCACTCCTCCTTAGAGCAGGACCAGGGAGTGTCTAGGGCTTAACCGCTGAGGAAAGCTGCTGCTCTGGCTTTGCGGGGCCAGGGCTTGCTCTCCAACTCTCTTCTTCCGATGAGCTATCATTTCAAATGAGTCACTTTCAAAAAGATGCCCCCACAATAGAGCTCTTTTCCTGTTAGGCTGTGGTAAGCCAAAACCTACTTCAGAGAATACAAAGTCACCACTCTGGGGGTCTAAGAAAAGATATGAGTTTAATGTGTTTTTAGTTCTTTGAAAAGAGAAAAAGGAAGAAAACCTCAAACTACTAAACTAGAAGCACTGTGTGTGTGTGTGTGTGTGTGTGTGTGTGTGTGTGTGTGTGTGTGTGTTCTACTTTGGGTTTAGCATTTCATAAAGGAACAATGCAGGTTCGATTTTCAGTAAACAGTTTCACAAGGTTTGGGTTTTTGACATTCTTATGTTTCAACTGATGTTCAGAAAAAAATTCAAGCTTCCTAAAGGAACTGCCAATACCTTTTCCATGAAATCAGTACTTGAAGCATAGTAAACTACAATCCTACGTCCAGAAAATCCCAAAGGTGTCCTAGGACAGCTCAGACTTAGAGGGGGAAAGTGAGGTGGTATCACTACTAGCTGATGGTGTCAGGCCATCTCAGCATGGCCCAGCCCCTTTCCCACTCCCTCTTTGCTCTGGGACCATTATCCAGAAGAGTCCAGAGACAAAAAAAATAAAAATAATGGTCCAGCAAACTTCTCACGGCCTGGGAACTGGCATACTTGATGATTGAAGCCAAAAGAGGAGGAATAGGAAGAGGAAGATTTCATCTAGAGGGCTGAAAATACAGACCAGCAGACAAAAGGAGGACAAATACCTCTCTGACATTCTCCGTGAGGTACATGGTCAGGAGCCTGGTCACCCAAAGCACATGAATGAATAGAAGAATTTTAGGGCGAGCAGGTGACACATTCCAACTGGATCTTTGAATTAGCTGATTAATTTATTTGACGAGTATTTTTTTAGTATCTCCGAAATGACAGTTACAGCTCTGGTGACCTGGCGGTTCCCCTTCATTCTCTTTCCTGTTTTCCAACGCTATGAATTAGGATGCATTATTGTTTCTTTGGTCTGTAGCCTCAAACCCCTATTGGATAATCTATGCAAAGCTGGATAAACAAACACTCACACACATGCAGAAGCCAACACTGATACAGATTCTCTACCCCTAAAAGCATACCCACAAACCCAAGCTGAGAGACACCTGCCTTATAGTTCAGGTTATTCAGTCAACACGTATTTATTGAGTACCTACTGTGTGCCAGGCACTGGGTTAGGTGATGTGGGTAGAATGATAAACAAGGTAGAAAAGGCCTTGCGATTGGAACTCTTATTCCAGTGGAAAAAAAGCAAATATTTAAAAAGTGGTCAAAAAGTAGTCTAATCACAGGTTATGATAACTACTAAGAAAGAAAGAAATATCAGTCAAATAATGAGAAAAAGATGGGGCTGTACACAGGACATCTGAGGAGACGACATTTGAACTCCGTGGAGAAATCTGGGGCATTCCCGGGGAAGGGAATGGAGTCTGCCCCGATGTGCGTCTCTACTTGGGAAAGGGGGGAAGCAGCCAGGGCTGGAGAGGGAGGAAAGGTAAAGAAAGGTTTTTGTTTGGTTTGATTTGTCTTTTAATAAAAGGGAGTACTCGAACATACGTACATACTGCTGGAAATGATTTCATAAGCAGGCAGAGTCTGAGGATTCGGAGGAGACAGAAAATGCCAAAGGGGGCCAAGTAGGGAAGAGGGAATGTGAGCCTGGTGGACACATGGAAACTGTCCTCTCCCTCCACTGTAGCTGGATGTAAGGAAGAGATCATGCAGATGAAGGTGGGAATTGTGTTTTTGTGTAGAAGGAAGGTTGCATGATGAGAGGAAGGCATGAGGTTGGTTTACCAGAGGAAAAAAATAACAATATAACTGACTGGAAGAGTGAAGAAAGGTGCTTACTAGGGAACTGAAGAAAAGGTGCTGGGCAGGGTTGAATAATCATTTGAGATCTGTGATCATTAGTGTAAAGCAACAGTTCTCAACCAGGGACGTTTTGTCCCCCTCCCCACTCAGGGACATTTGGCAATGTCTGGAGATATTTTTTCATTGTCACAGGTCTGGGAGAGGAGGGTGCTACTGGCGTCTGGTGGGGGGAGGGCAGGGAGGCTGCTAAATACACTACCATGCACAGGGCAGCCCCACAGCAAAGATTATGCAGCTTAGAATTTCCATAGAGCCAAGCTTGAGACACCTGATGTAAAGTGACATTATATTTATGTACAGACTATCTCTTCCAGGCCACATAAGAAGACGATAATCCTCTCGGGGGGGCAAAAATGGGGCCATGCAACAAGGTGGGAAGAGGACTTATTTTCATTCTATGTCCTTTTAAAATGTATACCATGTACATGTATTATCTATTCAAGTCAATCAAAAGATCAAAATAAATCAGTGATAGATCAATAATTGACTGATCAATTTAACAGATGACAGATAAAAATAAAAGGAAACCAGTCATCCTGCTTGGATGTTGTTTTCTCCAACAGCATTCAGCTGCTAGGATGCCAGCTTTAAAGAAAATAGAATTTTGTGAGGGGAATACAGTGGAGAAAGAGAGTATTTTGGAGTTGAGGGTCCTTCTGAAGCACTGATTGTGAGGACAGATGATGACTGCTAAGTTGAACAGAGAGAGGAGCGAAGATGAGGAAGGAGCTGATGGACATACAAGAAAATAACAGAGTTTATTAATTAGAGGTCTCAATGTTTAAAAACCAGTATTTCAGGAAAGAAAATGTTAGACCAATTGAGCTGGAGTAATAGGGGGTGATGTTGGAAAACACAACATCTGAAATCAAATTCTAAAGGAAACATTGTCATTTCTAATGATAACAAAGTCCAGGGAGAAGCCATCATAAACAGTAGTTCAAGAAAATAAGAAAAAGTCACTGTAAGTGGCAAGCACAAGACGGCAAGAAACCAAGTATTTAAGTGGATCCCACATAGCAGTGGTTCCCTCTGGAGAATGAAGTGCCCCTGATAGAGTGGCTTGTTAGTAATGGTAGATGCCATTTTCTGATGCTCTACTATGTGTCTGATACTTTTGTACATATTAGCTCTTTTTTGCCCAAGAAAGGTCGAGTGACCTGTTCAGAGATCGCATAGTCGGCAAGTGGAAGAATAAAGATTCAAATCTAAGGTTTTTAGTCCAAATTCTGTGCCCTTTCTACTATGCCATGGCTCTGCCCCCAGGGAGAGACAAGTTGTCATCAAATCTATGGAAAATTGGGTAAGCTTAACACTGGTAATAATATTGGTAATGGAAACTCTGGGAGGTGGAGAGGAAGAGAATATATAGAAAGGAGGAAGGCCTGGCAAAGATGGAAAGATTTGCTTCATAGTTCTTCTTACCCCAGTAAACTCTTCTTAAAGTGATCTGAAGTCATAACGAATGAAGAAACCATGGAAGACAGAAATAATAAGCAAAAAATTCAAATCTGAGTGAATTCTAAAAATGTTATTCACAATATTTATCTATATGCAAAAATACAATTTTTATTACATTTTTCATTAAAAACACACAAAATGTATATAAATATTGACTATATTATAAGAAAACAGCATCAGTAGCTGACAATGTTTGAAGACTATTAGAGTTGGATACCAAGAAGCATTCAAAATCTACCCCCAAATGCAACCCATAATTCCCAAACATGGACTTCACAATATCCACATTCTCTCTACTTATGTGACTCTTTAGTCTCACACACACACACACACACACACTCACACACAAACACACACACACACCCTGACAATGGCACTGGAAATACAGAGTCTGTGTAGGAAATGGACCGAGTCCCCAAAAGATCCCTCTTGCTTCTCCGTTAGCATCACATGATGGCTCAGCCCATGCATTTATGTAGAAGTGAAGATGATGCCAGTGAGGCACTGGCCTCCCACAGTCTCATTAGCTTATTGTGCAAGCCTTGTCCTCCTTTTCCATCCCTTATACACTCATGTCACAACCATGTATCTGAGGTAGCAGGTAGACCCACCTGAGAGGTGAGTTAAAAGGTGTTCTTTTCCATATGCCAAAATGTTCCCGGCCATGTACGATGAGTGTAGACACCTGGTAGCAGAGGCTTTTCCATGCCTCTGTGTCTTCACATGGCAGCCCAAAGTTTTGTGTTCTTCAGTCACATTCCTCCTCCTGTCTGCCTCATGGCCCTTAGCCGGGATGAGGAGCTGCAGAGCTGCTGGACCCTGTGGTCTCAAGGTCCTCTAGATTCATGTCTTCTTTCTTGACCTCAAATAGGCTTAAGAAGACCCTCATTCAAGACAATATTCTCAGTGCCTCTAGCAAGGAACTGTAGTGGAGAGAATCCATTGCCTTGCCTCTAGCAAGGAACTGTAATGGAGAGAATCCAATCTAAGAAAAGAGCTTTTCTTAGAGTTTATATAGGCCAAAAAATGTCCTAGATTCCTCAAAATTGACCAGAGAGAGCTCAGACACATTGACATATAAATGATCGGCACTGGTGAGATTGAACACTGCCCCCAAGTAGCTGCTACGGGCCCACATCCGCCCGGCAGTACAGTAGTTCATCATCTTCCCCTCCATCATCACCAGATCCTGAGGGTACCTGGTGTTCCTCATGTAGACTTTGTGGCTCAGGGGCTGGTTGTTGCAGGATTGACCCCGGAAGTACACTTTGGAATACACAAAGTACAGCCCAGTGTCATTGATCACAAGGGCACCCTTCTTATACTTCACTCCAGAGATCAAAGAAATTCCATAGGTGTCTTCCCATTCCAGAGGCATGGACCTTGAGTTGGGCTTGCCTGAAATAAATCAGAGAGGAGCTTTCATCCAGGAATGCTCATGCATTTCATTCGACAAACTAAGTTCCTAAGGCAAAACTCTGGACCCTTCCATGAACAAATGTTTTACTCAGAATATCACAGCCCATATAGAACTGGCTGACGGATCAGAACCCGATCCATCACTGAATTCCTTCAACAATTCCTTTGTTGAATTACATGCCTCAATTTTATCACCCACACAACCGAAACAATAATATATACCCCTAATCAATTGTAGTGAGAAATTATTGAAATAATTTTAGCTCTCTGGAACAAAGATTTTATAGTTCTCAGAACTAGCACCAAAACTGCTAGGTTTTGAGGAAAACCCAAATCCAAGGAAAGTTCCCAAGTTGGGAAGCATCTTAGAGATCATCTGGTCCATCTTCTCACCTACAATAGGGCTACTTCAGCCCCTGAATTTGGGCTAAAATCCCCTTTCCATTGTATTCTCACAGTATTATGTGCATACCTTAATCAGAGAACTCTGCAGTACTGAAATCATCACCTTGTGCCTGTCTCTTCCTATTAGACTTCAAGTTCTTTGGAGACAGGAACTATGTAGTACTAATTTCCATGTCTCTAGATCTTGACACACAGCAGGTACTCAACAAGTGTCTATTGATCTGGCTGGATCATTCTATAGTCTCTGCCTAAATAATTCCAGGGACAGTGGTACCCCACTTTCTATGACATTTATCCACTTCCCAGTTATTTCTGAAGCTTACAGTGGGAGCGCACCTACCATATTGCTAGCAAACCACTTCACTCCACTCTACGACCATACACTGACAGTCCACGAGTGCCAGGCCTGCGTTTCCCCTCTCACTCCTATTTCTACTCTTGGACAAAGCAGAGTGAAGCTCTTCCAAAAAACCAAAGCAGCACTGACTAAAGTGGTTTCTCATTCCCCACTCTTTCAGCTCTAACCTCCTGGACCTATGCCCCAAATCCCCTGAAGGTCCTTGGAATGACTGAAGAACTTCTTATGGGCAGGGATCATGTCACAATCAGCTCCAGGTCTCCAGTTTTAGAAGAGGGCCTTTCCCAGAGCAGGGGCTCAAAATATGTTTGTAAGATTGACCTGACTATAAAGATGTGAGTATTCTTGGGTTCTAAACACTGTCACTGGAAAGTAACAACTCCCTCAGAGCCTGGTAATGGAAAATAACTAGCCAGCCATTGTGCCTTTTGCCAAAAGCCTTCCCAGCCCCCACCTGTACCATCCACATACAGACCTGTTAAATGGGCCACTTTCCTTGGCTCCTTTTTTTCAGAAGGTGGACTGGGGTTGCCTATATCATGGAAAGACGAAAGATATATGTAAAAACGAGACAGCAACTATTATTTTGGTGGGACTCTAAATCTCACCATTAAAAACTATATTTTAAAACCATAAATGGCAATAGTCTATACATACTAATCATGCAAATCTAACCTGTAGGACTCACGGCAGTCTATATTTTAGAAACAGAGAAGTAAAAAATAAACCAAATTAAAATAGACATTAGACATATGCATAAATTATAAACTTACAATAGAACATAATTAATATAAACATTGATTCATAAAGAGCTGTCGTATCAGTTACTGCATTTAGAACTCGCCACAACCCTTTGAGGTGGGGATTACTGTCCCACTTTATAGATCACAAAATGAGCTTAGAAGTTGGAAGGCTGGTCCAAGAAGACCCAGCTACTCAGTGTCAGAGGTAGGACCAACACTCCGGTCTCCCAACTCCAAATTCAGGGCTCTACCCACTCTGGCCCTGCTGGCCCTTGGACTCTGCAGGACAGAGGCTACAATCTACCCCAAATTAATTATCCAAAGGCCTCAAACAATCACCTGGTAACACTGAGACTTCAAGTACCTTTACTGGCTTCTCACTGAACATGCAGTCGCAGCCTGTCTGCCCAGCTCATTTCCCCACTCACTCACAGGGGACACTGCCACACGACGGGAGCTCTGCAGCTGAACACACCCCACTGCCCTGCCTCTGAGCCTCCTGCCCAGAACATTCCCCCAATCCGACCTCGGTGCCAAACTCCTAACAGTCCTGTGAGGACCATCTAAAACACCTCCTTCTCTGGGAAACACTCCCAGGCCTTTTTAATCAAACATGCTCTTCTCTTTTGAAACCTAGGGTCACTCCATCCTCCCCGCCCTTGTCAGTTTGACTCCCCTTCTCTGCAGCAGGTGTGTAAGTGGTTCCCTTTAGATAAGGGCAAGTTCCTTGCTGTGTGGTGAATTCACCAGCGCTTTTAGCCCAGTTTCAAACACAGGGCATGGTGCTAGCAAACGTTTGCCAAATTAAATGGAAGGAATTAAAACAGACAATAGTTCTCAAAACAGACACTACTGCTCTGGCTTCAAATATCTGGAGAGGCTACCTACCACTTAGCTAGAGCCGACTGAAGCACTCGAGCAAGACCCACAGAAGGTGCTGGTCTAGGGCAGGCTCGCACGAGCCCTGAAACTCGCACAGCGCGCGAGGCCGGCCCACTCCGAACACTACCTGAGTGACCCTGACCTCGCTAGCCACCCGCGACGACTCACCACGAATGAGGGGTTAGAGAACAGGAAGGGCAAAACTGAGCCCTCCTGCGTTCCCGCACCACACGCCGCCCGAGCAGCTGGCCTGGCGGCGGCCCAAGCGCTGACAGGAAGCGCGGCAGAACCGCACGCCGCGCCCCTGCGCGTCCTCGCAGAGCCCGGGGCGCCGTTCTTCTCACAGAAGGCTCTCGCGCAAAGCGTCTGCCGCGTAAATGCTGGGAACAGACTGGAAATAGATGCTGGATACTGGCGGTGACGGTTTCGTGCCCCAGGGTCTCAGCACGCGCCCTTCTCGGGCTGGAACGCTTCCCATCCCCCACCCTCTCCACCGCACATGCGCGCAGCTCCTGGCCGGCGGCTGCGGCCCGCGGAGGCCCTCGGGGTAGGCAAGAACCGCACCTCCTCAGCGGGGACACTCCGGACCGCTGGGGGGGTCACAGTTAGCACAATTTGAAGTTATGTTATTTGCTTGCTTTTGTTTATCTCCTCCTCCATACTAAAAGCTCCGTGAGGACAGGCCCCCTTGGCGCTCTCAGTCTTCACCCAACACCTAGTCTTGCACATAGCCAGCTCTCCAAGAACCCTTGCGAACGAATGAAAGAATGAAAGATTCATTTTGTGAACTGTGCAAAAAGTGGAAAATGTAAAAAGAAGCAAATAAGAAAGTGAAAATAATCCATAATAGTACCTCCCAAAGAAAAATCACTGTTAGCATTGTTGTCGTTTCTTTCTAAGAATATAAGAATATGCCTATGTGCTTACATAGTCAGTATGAAATGAAACATACCCTAACTTGTCTTTTTATCTGGCAATAGAAAGAGCACAATCCCCGTGGCATTAAATGTCCTGGTACCTGGTTTTTAATTGCTGCATATTATGTTGTCATCTGAATACGCTGTAGCATATTTAACTACTCTTCTAGTATGAGGCATTTAAGTTTCTTCTGAATTGTTCATTATAAACAGCTTTACAAGAGAGTGATGAACATCTTTATGTATAAAATCTACAAGCACATCTCTGATTCTTAAAGTAAATGCTTAGTGATGAAATTAAAGGTAAGCTAACAGTTTCAAGCTTTTCATATGTACTTCCAAACTGCTCTTCAGAAAAGCTATATTAACCTACATGCACACCAGCAGAAACTAAAGTTTAAGCAGGAGCTTTTCTGTCATGTCTTTGCCAATGTGTGTTTTTATTTTTACTCTTTACTAATTTGATGGATAAAAATAGGTAACTCCTTCTTTTAAATTGTATTGCTTATCTTTTTAGCAAAGTTACTAATTTAATTTCCATGTGATAATTCACCAATTCCTCTGGGTTGACCTGGGGAAGACAGTTATTTACTAGGGTAGGTAGAACTGACTCATCTGTTCATTTGACTTTTAATCACTAAAATAACTCCAGAGAGTGGGTGAAAGATGAGTAATTAGGGACCTGTCTGACCAGCCACATTCCACTGATTTTCAAAGGGATTTTATTTTTAAAATCCTCCAGAGGCTTCATTTCTCTAACAAATATTTCCACTCTGCTTGTGTACATATGGACTTTCTAGCACTTAGGGACTTGGACCCAGAACTAGAGACCAGAACATCCCAGCGATGGCTCCTACGAAAGCTAGGACAGTAGGCAGATGGGGACACTATGGTAGGCACATCCTGATAGACTAGACCAGGCCCCACCACACGGATGGGCAATGCTGCTGGCTGTTTTCTTCTGAGTGTCTGAAGATGAGATTTACCTATTGTCTTTGCAGAGATATCCTGCTTTTCACTTATTTCTCATGCCATGGCCACTGCAGAGAAACAGGAGTTTCCTCTTTTCATGAGGCACCTGTCCAGGTACTGGAAAGCCCTGCAGGTGACGAGGCGTCTAGAGGCCATGCTGCTTCTAGCCCCAGTTCCACACCAGGGGTCTTGGGCATCTCTAATCTATCTGGTGTTTTGTTCCCTTCTGAAAAATGAAGTGGCTGGATCAGACACACTCTAAGCTCCCTTCCAACTTTAAAAATTCAATGAATCTTAGTTTAACACAAATGAAGCATATCCTAAAATCTCTTCCCACAGTTTCCAAAACTATGCTCTGAGATTTCACGAGGTCAGTGTTCAACATTTCATCTTCTTCCTGTGTTGGTCTCATACAAAGGATTTTACTTTGTTATCAAAGGTAGGTAGCTCCTGACTGTGGGTGAAGCTGAACAATCCTTTGAATGACAGCTACAGTCTTCCCCTAAGCTTCACAGTGACTTCAAAAGAACCCTCCTCATGTAGGCGATTGTCCACTTTTTAAAAGCTCAGTTATAGCCATAAAATATTTTAAAAATAAAGCTTGACTCTTTAGTAATCTCTTTCAGAGAGTTTAACAGAGGAGAGGACATTATTCCCCACAAACAGCTCTCTCTGCCCTCACTTTCCTTCATGTTCCCCTTCTCTTCCCAGGAATTACAGCCCCTGGCATGAGCGCCAGGCCCAGGATCCCTCTGGAAGGGGTCGGGCCTGGAGCCAGCGGCCCAGGGGGCAAGAGTCCAGGGTTGTATGTGTGTGTCTCTTTCCAAAGCCAAGTGGAAATGATTTTGAGTTGTGCGCAGTGCTCAGCTACACTGACTTTGAGCAATTAAGTTCATTTCATATTTCAAGGTAACTCAAGGAACCATATTGACCAGAGATTCAGAATTAGCCAGGATTCCTCTCACAGTATAAGCCCAAGCGTGGGACAGAATACCAGGCACTCTACCAGCATGGGTCAGTGTTGAGGGTTATCTTTGGGAACTCAAAGTACATGCATAAAAGGACTCACCTATTTGTTTCTCCAGCGATGATGCTGTGTGCCTTTGGTGGAGAGACTAGCAAAAGAAAAAGAGAAAAGATGCATCATAAATAAGAAGTTTTTTAGGCAAAGGAAGCATAGGAAGAGAATCCAAATTATTGGGAACTTTTTCTAACTCTGCCTTTGGCCAAGCAATTGTGCCTCACTGTTCCTTAGTTTTGAGATTTGGAAAGGCATCAATATTTTTAAGTATTTTTCAAGATTTAGTTCAGTCATTTGAACACATTTACTTCTAACCAAGACTCAAAGTCTTTTTATTCCTTGAATCACTAGCTATGAGGCAGTAAGTGGTTCAAAAACTGAGTGGACAACTGAGAAAGGAAGAACTGGTTGGCTCTGATTCATTGCAAGATAGAAAATATTCTATTTTGTAGAATTTCTATTTCTATTCTGCATTTACAAGATAGAAAATATTCCTCTATTTCTCTGCCTATAGAATAGAATGACTAGAAAAATTCACTGGAAGATAGAAAAAAAAGGATGGAAGAAGCACTTTGCAAGCCAGACAGTGGTCCACGTGGGCCACACGCACCCTCCACCCCCCTGCGGCAGAGCTGCGCTCGCCCGGTGGCGCCAGGGTGCGGCGAGCACAGGCAGGCTTACCTGTCGCAGTTCCGCCAGCTCCTGCTGCAGGTGGAAGAGCTGAAACATCCCCAGCCCCAGTCCAACCAGGGCCACCAGAACCATGAAAAACATCACAAAGAGACACGGGCCTGTGCTGTGGTCCCTCTTCTTCTTCAGGGGTGGCAGTGGGAGTGGGGGCAGCGGCGGCAGTGGCGGGGGCAGGGGCGGGGGTGGTGGCGGCGGCGGCCTCCTTTGACCAGGCCTTCTGGGCACAGAGGTCGGGCAGGGGAGAACTGAGCCTGGAGGGTCCCAAGGAGAGCTGGCACTGCTGTCCACCCAGTAGACCTGGGGATACGGGTAACTGAAGGGCTGCTGCATGGCCGTCAGTGGCTCGGGCCAGCCCCAGCGAACGGGTTTACTTCTCAGTCCGGTGGAGGCTGGAGGATCAGGGCCGGGACGCCTGTTGCTGACTGCTCAAGAGAAGGGAGCCCGGCTGGTTCTTATAGAGTTTCCATAGCCAAGGGAAACACCTCTCTCGCGTGCTCTCTCGCTGCTCTCTCTTTCGTTCTCTCTGTCTGTTTCGGCTTCTCAGAGAGACACCCACTCACTTTGAAGCTGAGAAGCCTCAAGAAGCTCAGAGCAAACCCCTGGAAGTTTCCACCCACAATTTTCTGATGAAAGCCCTCGAAGCCTCACTTGCTGTCGCTGCGCGGCCTGAAAGGCTGGCAGGCTGTGCCCGCCTTCCCCGGGTCCTGCAGGGCAAGTCAGCCTGGGCGTGGCCCTGTGGGCATGAGAGGCTGCCCAGGGGGCCAGGGAGGCATGCTCAGGCACAGAGGGGCGAGACCAGGGGGTCACGGCCAGAGATGTCCCTCCTACTTCTTACCCTTTGCACAAGGAAATCATCCCCTGCCACTAACCCTTTCCCGCACCCAGGTACGCTTTACCCTGACATTGCAAATCACCATAATGCACAGGTCAAAACCCTGCCCCACCCACTCTACATATCAGGTCGGAGCTAGCAAACCAGTGGCCCATATGCCTTGTGGAAACCATAGACCTGCTTTTTTTGTACTTCACAATATTTTACTTTCAACTGGTGGCCCACTTTTTAAAATCAAGACAGTCCATGTTAAAAATATATATTTCTATTCTGTTTTGAAACATTACAATATTAGATACCCTCGAGGCCATCTCTGCAAACCCCATCAGCCGAAGCTGGGTGGCAGCTGCTCCGAGAGTGACATGCATGTGCACTAGTCTCCCGGGGCTCTCCCACCAGCCCGGGAGAGATGCCTGGCCCTGCAGGCACTTCTGTTTGAGCCCCTGTCATGGCTGCCAGATGAAATATATGGTGCCCAGTTACATTTGAATTTCATATAAACAATAAATAATTTTTAGGATAAATATGTCCTAAACATTTCATGGAATATACTAAAAAATTGTTTATCTGAAATTCAAATTTAAGTATGCTTGCTTGATTGCTTTTTATTAAGCTGGTAACTCTACCTGAGCTAACCTCACCTCAGATACCATTTACACACCAATAACTTCCAAGTACTCAGCATCAGTCCCAATCATTCTCCCCTATAAACCATATAAACCCCCCATAAATCCCTATTTTCCCCTTATTGGAGAGCTCTACTTTTCAAATTTCATTAGTTTTTGTATGATGCTTTGAGATTTTTGTGACTATCATCCTGGCTCTCTCACCTGTACTAAACCAACACCAAACATATCATCTCCCTGCTACACTCTGCCCACCCCATCCCGCCCCCATGCAGCCTGTTTCTGCTGAGGTCACTTTCTGGTGACAGCTTCAGCTCCTTTCTTTTCCTCTCTCCCAATATTTAACTGGCCACGCAGGAATATTTTACAGTTAAATTTATATTTAAAAATATGGTTCTGAACAATGTTTGTTAGAATTATTTCAAAATTTAAAAAGCTTTTTGGTTATATATATATATATATATATATATATATATATGGTAGAATTCTTGAAGCTATAATTTCTGATTATTACTTATGAAGTGTAAACAGTGTTATGCTCTACTTTTATGAGTGCCTGTTGTTTGAAAAAAAACTTTTTTCAATTTGCTACAAATCTATGTATTTGGTATAATTTATATATCTATTGGTTGGAGTTTTTTAATTATGTCATTCAAGTGTCAGTTTCTGAGATGAATGAATTAAAATTTTTTCCCACACCATTTATTGAATAGGGATTCTTTTCCCCAGTGTATATTGATGTCTACTTTGTCAAAGATCAGATGGAATATATGGATGGTTTTATATCTGAGTTCTCTGTTCTATTCCATTGGCCTATGTCTGAAAGGCTACCAGGCTGTGCCCACTTTCTGCAGGTCCCAAGGGCAAGTCAGCCTCTATTTTTGTGCCAGTACCATACTGTTTTTGTTACCATAGTCTTGTAATATAACTTAAAGTCTGGTAAAATGATGCCTCTCAATTTGCTTCTTTTGCTTAAGGCTACTTTGGCTACTTGGACTCTTTTTTGGTTCCAAATGAAGTGCAAACTTATTTTTTCCAGATCTTTGAAAATGGTATTGGTATTTTGATGGGGATTGAATTGAATCTGTAAATCACTTTGGGTAGTATAAACATTTTAATAAAGTTGATTCTGCTGATCCATGAGCATGTTTTTCCATTTGTTTACATCATTGGCAATTTCCTTCCTCAGTTATTTTTAGTTCTCTTTGTAGAGGTCTTTTACTTCTTTGGTTAAATATATTCCTAAGTATTTATTTTCTTTGTAGATGTGAAAGATATGAAGTCACTGATTCTCAGCTTGACTGTTGTTGGTATACAGGAATACTACTAATTTGTGTACATTGATTTTGTAATCTGGGACTTGCTGAATTTATCAATTCCATAAGCCTATTGGTAGAATCTGTGGGTGAAATTCTAGATGTAAGATCATATTATCAGCAAAGAGTGATAGTTTGACATCCCGTTTTCCCATTTGGATACCCTTGATTTCCTTCTCTTGCCTAATTGCTCTAGCTAGGGCTTCTAGCACTATGTTGAATAGAAGTGGTGACAGGGAGCGCACTTGTCTTGTTCCAGTTCTGAGTGGGAATGCTTTCAACTTTTCCACATTCAGTATGATGTTGGCTATGTGTTTGTTATATATGACATTTATAATTTTGAGGTATGTTCCATCTATGCCTATTTTGCTAAGAGTTTTTATCATAAGAGGGTGCCGAGTTGTGTCAAATGCTTTTTCTGCATCTATTGAGATAATATGATCTTTGTTTTTGCTTCTATTTATGTGTGAATTGATTAACATACTTTGCACCATCCTTGCATCCCTAGGATGAAGCCCACTTGGTCATGGTGAATTATTATTTTTTTTTTTATGTGCTGCCTCATTCGGTTTGCTAGAATTTTATTGAGGATTTTTGTATCTATATTCATGAGGGATATTGGTCCATGATTTTTTCTTTTTGTTGTGTACTTTCCTGGCTTTGGTATCAAGGTGATACTGTCTTAGTAGAACTTCCTTCTTGATGTTATAAAATAATTTCTGCAGAATGAGTACTGTTGGATGTGAAGTCCATGTGCAGGGGGAGAAAGAATTCTTAGACAGTGAATAAGATATACAAAAGTAAAAGTTTATTTATTTTCCTGAGAAATAGAGAGAGAGAGAAAGAAAGAGAGTGGCCATGACACACAGAGTGGAGAAATAAATGTCAGGTGGTGAGGAAAGTTGGTTGGTACTTTTAAAGGGTAGAAATGTTCTTTTCCCTCTGCTTCAGAGGACTGATAACAAAAGTGGCTTTGAAGCTGCTGTGCTGGCTTTTTCTGTTTCTCATGTAGCAGACTGATAGCAGAAATCAGTGTCTTCTTTCTTCTTGATAGTGGGAGGCACCTGGTACTATCTCTTCCTGAGGAACCAGGGAAAGTTTGCACTCCTACTGTCCACTCAGGAACTTTTTCAAGGCTAATAAATAACTCAGAGATAACAAGTTAGGCCACACATGTTTTCATCAAACAAAGGGTAATTGTGTTTGATTTGTGTTGAGTTTATTTCTCTTACTTTCTGTTTGAGAGTTTAAATTTGGCTGTGAAACCATCTGGTCTGGGACTTTTTATGTTGGAAGATTTTTTTATTGCTGCTTCAATTTCACTGATGCTCTGCCTGCTTTTGTGGAGCCTGAGGGCAAGCTTACCCAACCCAGCCTTGCCCAGCTGCACTCCCCCATCTGCCTCTGCTGTGGCAGAGAATTAGGGCTCACCTGAAGTTCTAAGACCCCCACCCACCACCTGGGGCATTCGGGTGCTTCTTCTGAGGGACTAGAGGCAGTAACAGGACCCAAAAACAACACTGAAACTTATTCCTTCTGGCAAGCACCACCTACTGACAGGGAGGTCAATTTGCACACCCTTTACAGCATTTTCTGACTCAATTTACAGGGTGTGGTTGATTCTCATACAAGCACCACCTGCTATCTGAGAGATTAAACTGGGCATAACATTATCCAAACAAAAGAAAATCTAAAAATCTAAAAAATCTAAAAATAAGAGGCAATAGCTGCTCCACATGAGAAGGAATCAGTGAAAGAACTCCAGAAGTACGAAGAATTAGAGTGAAAGGTCACCCCCAAAAGGGAACACCAGCTCTCTAGCAATGGACATCAGCCAAAATCAAAATATGAAATGACAGATAAATAGTTCCAAGTATGGATTATAAGCTCAGCAAAATACAAGAGAAAATGGAAAACTACCACAAAGAAACAGCAAAAAAAATTCAAGAAATGAATGAAAAATTCACTAAGGAAATTGAATCATTTAAAAAATCAAATAGAACTTCTGAAAATGAAAAATTCATTCAAGGAAATGCAAAACAGTGGAAAGTCTTAAGAATAGATTAGAATAGGTGGAAGAAAGAATCTCAGAGCTCAAAGACAATACCTTCAAATTAGACAAGTCAGTCAAAGACAAAGAATAGAGAATTTAGAGGAAAGAACAATGCCTACAAAAAATATGGGATTATTAAAAGAGACCAAATAGGAATTATAGGCATCCCTGAGGGTGAAGAATAAATCACATAAGGGTTGAAAAAATGAGAGAATGATAGAGAAAAACTTCCCTGATCTTGCTAGAAATTTAGATATCAAAGTACAAGAAGCTCAAAGGACACCTGGGAGATTCATCCCAGAGGCAATCACCATGACACATAGTCATCAGACTGGCCAAAGTTGACATAAAGGAAGAACTCCTGTACGCTATTAGGTGAAAACATCAGGTAACTTACAAAGGAAAACCCTCAGGCTAACTACAGACTCCTCAACTAAGATCTTATAAGCCAAACGGGGACCCCATCTTCAATCTTCTTAAACAGAATAATGGTCAGCCTAGAATTTTGTATTCTAAAAAACTAAGTTTCTTATATGAGGGAGAAATAAAGACTTTTTCAGACAAGCAAATACAGAGGAAATTTGTCAAGAAGAGACCTGAACTGCAGGAAGTACTCAGATCTACATTATATATCAATCAGTACAATAGAAACCCACCAGTGTAAAATTACTCAAAAGTTAAAGCTCAGGGCCCATATAAAATAATAGCTAACGAGGTAAAACAAAGCAACAAGGTTCTACTCAATAGGATATACAAAAATGCATCCATCCCATTTATCAATCCTTTCAATAAATCTTAATGACTTGAATTCCCCACTCAAGAGATACAGGCTGGCTGATTCGATATTAAAAAAATAATAATAATACAAACCAAGTATTTGCTGTCTCTAGGAAATACATCTAACCCACAAGAACTCAACTCATTCAGACTCAGGAGGAAGGGATGAAAAAAAATATTCCATGCAAATGGAAATCAAAAGAAAGCATGTGCAGCCATTCTAATATCAGATAACATAGACTTCAAATCATCAATAGTAAAGGAAGACAAAGAGGGTCATTATATAATGGTAAAAGGACAAATTTTTCAAGAAGACATAATAATGCTAAATATTCATGCACCTAATGCAAGTGTGCCCAGATTCATGGAGCAAGCCCTACTAGATTTAAACAAAGTAATAAACAGCAACATTATAATTGCCAGTGACTTCAACACTGCATTGACGGAACTGAGCAGAACTCCAAGCAGAAAATAAATACAGAAACAAAGGACTTAAATGGGATTCTAGAGCAAATGGGCTTAATGGACATTTACAAAACATTCTACCCAAAAACTATGAAATATACATTCATCAGCACATGGAACATTCTCTAAGATAGATCACATCTTAGGCCACAAAACATGTCTCAACAAATTAAAAAAAAATAGAAATTATACTGTGTATCTTCTCATACCACACTGGAAGAAAATTAGAAATCAACAGAAACACTCAATTCTATACAAAGTCATGGAAATTAAACAACTTACTGCTGAATAATTATTGGGTCAAGAAGGAAATTAAGGTGAAAATCAAAAGATTCCTTTCACTAAATGACAAAAGAGACAAAAGTTATCAAAATCTGTGGGATTCAGAAAAGGCAGTCCTAAAGGGGAAAATTCATAGCCTTAAAAGAGTACAACAAAAAGACAGAAAGATCACAAATCAACAATCTAATGAAACCCAAACCAAACCCAAACCCAGCAGAAAAAAGGAATAAGTAAGGCCAGAGCAGAAATAAATAAAATGAAAAACAAACTAAAAAAAAATACAGAAGATTAATAAAACAAAAGTTGGTTCTTTGAAAAGATAAACAAATTGATAGAATTCTTGCTAGATTAACCAGAAATAGAAAAGGACCCAAATAAGGTCAATCAGAAACAAAAAAGGAGAGATTACAACTGATACCACAGAAATATAAAATGTCATCTGTGAATATTATAAAAATCTCTACACACATAAACTTGAAAATGTTGAAGAAATGGACAAATTCCTGGAAACACACAACCTCCAAGTCTCAATAAGGAAGAAATAGTACTGCTGAACAAACCAATTATGTTCTGTTTCTTAATAGGTTAGCTAGCCCATTTACATGTATTGTAATTACTGTTACACTAGGGCTTATATATTACTTTATTTTGTGATTATTTGTCAGATTCCCAGCCCCAACCCCCCCACACACTCTTTTCCTTTCTTCTACTAGATAGATCAAACTTTTTTCTGCTGGTAAGAAATTTAAACTGTCTTATTTTTATTCTGGTGATTACTGCTAATTTATCAAAACTCAAGCTCTTATTTATTTTTTCTACCAATCCCTAAAACTTAAAAGTATCTGCATAGTCCCCTGAACAGCATAAGTCCTTAGTGCAACCACTCCATTCCTAGCCACTGCCTCCACCATGTTGGTATTGCCTAAAATTTTAATTCTGGATTATGATGAATTTTTATGTTTCATTTGCTCTCATACATAAATGATGGCTTAGTTGGATATATATTTCCAAATCTGACATCCTTTCTATTTTTTTTTCCAAAATTTTGCAAGTATTGCCTTTTGTCTTTTTGCATCAAGGACTGTTATTGAGAAGTCTATGGTCAATCAATCTAACTCATATTCCTTTTTAGGCAATGTTTTTTCTTTCCAGAAGCTTTCAGAATGTTCTCTTAGTGTGAATAATTTCACTAAAATCAATATAGCTTTTTTTCCAATATGGAATTTTATAAGCTTTTTAAAGGCTAAAGTCTTTTATCCTTTTTTAATTTTAGAAAATCTATGTCCTTTTAGAAAATCTTCAGTCATTATTTGTTCAAATACTTTGTCCTCTACATATATTTTTTTTCCTGAGACCCTTATTATAAGGATACTGACATTTCTATTTCTACTCTCCTCACTTCTTAACTTCTCTTTTAAAATATCTTTTTCTCTTTTCCTGATGGTTTCAGGCTTTCAGGAAAATTCCAGCTCAGAATACATTCTTTGGATGTATTTTTTTCTATAATTTAAATATCTATTAAGATGTTTATTCCAACTATTACATTTTTCAAACTCAGTATTTCCAACTGATTCTTCTTTGGAATTGTTTATTCAAGATTAATGTTATCAATATTTACCTTTATCTCTTTGAGGGTATTTCTTCATGCTTATCTTAAATTTATTCTCTCTGATCTGTTATTGTTTGCTCAGTATGTTGTCTTTCTTTTATGGGAGTTGTGTTCTCAGATGTCTCATCACTTTTCCTTGTGAGCTCATGTTCTCCTGGGAGTATCAGATATCATGGATGATAATGTGTAGCCAGTGTGGGGAGGACTTGGGGGAGGGGAGATGAGAGGGTGGCTAAGGCCCAGAACTCAGGAGTAACTGTGCCCTTCTTACAGAGTTCGGGGAGCTGGTGGTGGGACACTGCTCAGGATGAAGAGTCTCTGGCATTGCAGTTGAGGCTCACCCATTCCCAGATTGCCACCTTGCCAAGTGAACCTTCCTGAGGTCCTGCCTAACAGTGCTATTTTCCAAGAGATTTCTTCTTCTGTTGGAGTCACCTGCCTATACCTGCTGTTAACTCTTCCCCACCTCACCCAGATTCTAGCACCATCTTGACATTTTCCCTCCAAGACCCCCGCTGCTTCAAAGCAAGCACTGTTGTTTATCTGCCTCACAGTGACAACAAGGCAACATGGGAAAGAGAAAGACACAAACCAAAGAGCTCTGGCACCAACCTATCACCCTATGGCATCTGCTGACAAACAGCCATATACACGCCAAGACTCAAGCACCCTCTTCTACCCTCAAGAGTTTCTCAGGTCTATGTCCATTTCTCAGGCCCATGATGCTACTTCTTGTTTCTGGGGGTTGACTTGGGGGATGAAGTCAGAAACCCATGTCAGTATGCCACCACGTTAGCTCTGCTAAATTCCTATGTCTGTCACCTCAACCATTATTATGGGGATTAGTTAAAAGAGTTAATTCATGTGAGGCACTTAGAAGAGTATCTGGCATATAATAAGTGCTCTACAACTGTTAGCTATAATTATTAATCACCATCATCATTAATAATATGCACAATGATCCTACAAAAATGACTATGTGTATTATCTTCACAGATGAATAATTGGACTCAGAGAAAAAGTAGCCCTGGTGAAGGATGGAACCAGGATTCATTCACAGCCAAGTCTGTCATCTCCAAAGGGCATATGCTCCTTCTACAAATTGAGTATCCCTTATATGAAATGCTTGGGACCAGAAGTGTTTTAGATTTTAGATTTTTTTGGATTTGGGAATATTTGCATATATATAATAAGATGTCTTGGGGATGGTACCCAAGTCTAAACATGAAATTCATTTATGTTTCATATACATCTTATACACAAAAATTTTTAACAATTTTGTGCATCAAACAAAGTTCTGACTGCACTTTGTGATCTGTCACATGAGGTCAGGTGTGGTATAATTTTCCACATGTGGGATCATGTTGACTTTCAGAAACTTTCAGATTTAGGAGGGTTTCAGATTTTGGATTTCTGCATTAGGGATGCTCAACCTGTATTACTGATTACGAGGAGGGCCATGTCATCCCTTCAGGTGCCACTGATGCAAATGTAAATATCTGATCATGTCAGTTGGCTGCTTAAAATAACACTTCAGTGGCTTCCTATTGCCTTCAGAAAGAAATCTAAACTTTTTACCATGACTTCCAAGACCTTGCATTATCTGGGCTCTTCCTAACTCTCAATTTATTATATCTTATCATCATGGACATAGTGTGGTAAGAGAGGAAACGAGTAAACTGAGATAAGTTATCCTGATTTCCTATACATATATATATATATATATATATATACACACACACACATAAATATATACATATATTTTGTATTATCTATCTTCTGCACTCTAACTCTATAGTACAAATTCCCAGCCTAGCACAATGCCTGAAAACTAACAATGAACTCAATAAATAATTGTTGAAACAAATCTTAACAGAATCCCCAAGCAGTTGTTTTTCAGCCCCCTCAAATTACAACTCTTTAACTTACTCACTTTCTTATCAATTTCTGGCTCTTAAACCCTAAGCCAAATAGGAATTACACAGGCTTAATCCCATAAACATCCATTCCCATTAATAATCCAACGGGATCCCAGAACAACCTTTGGTCTCTCTTGCCTCCAGATGACTTTCTTGCCACTCAAAGCATGTTTCAAGAAGCCAGAGAGAGGGCAGGCATAGTGGCTCTCATGCCTGTAATCCTAGCACTCTGGGAGGCCGAGGCAGGTGGATCATCCGAGCTCAGGAGTTCGAGGCCAGCCTGAGCAAGAGCGAGACCCCATCTCTACTAAGAAAAACAGAAAGAAATTAGCTGGACAACTAAAAATATATAGAACAAATTAGCCAGGCATGGTTGTTCATGCCTGTAGTCCCGGCTACTTGGGAGGCTGAGGCAGAAGCATTGTGTGAGCCCAGGAGTTTGAGGTTGCTGTGAGCTAGGCTGATACCATGGCACTCTAGCCAGGGCAACAGAGTGAGACTCTGTCTCAAAAAAATAAATAAATAAAGAAGAAGCTAGAGAGCACCTCTGCCCTCCCTCCTGGCTCAAAGGTTTATATACCACTCAGTGCACTCACTATGTCCCTCTGGAGACTCACCAAGTGCTCCTGCATGAACCCTGGTGTCCAGCTCTGATACAGTAAAGTTCAGGCAGTAGTTCTGCAGAGTGACCGCCTTTTATTCTCAGTCCTGTATGCAAGCACAATACATCATGCACAACTGAGAAAGGTGCTGGAGGTCATACATTGGTTACTAAATCGTATCAGTGACTAAGTATCTGAATTTCTCAAAAAGAAATGGCTAAACGTGAACTCCAAACTTAGATTCACACCCAGTATTAGAGATACTGAATAAATATTTGTTGATCAGATAAATACAGTTAAGTAAACTGACATTCAAATAAGTGATTTGCCTGAGGTCACACGGCCTGTTGTCATTTAAGCCAAAATTCTAATCCCAAGAGGGCACACTGAGAGAGTGATTATAAAAAAGAATGCTCAAGACTGTCCTGCAATATGAGTAGCACCACCACCGCATGAGGCGGAGGGGTCTGCTGCCTGTAAGACAGCAAGAGGGTAGACAGAGTGTGAGGCACACCCCAAACAACAACTATGAAGACTGGAAATGCCTGGGTCTTGTGGGCTCTTTTATGAGGGCCCTTTTTAGTATCTGAAATGCCTCATTGCAAAAACACATGTCATGGTGGGTTTGTGGGAAAGCAGATGCGCCAAAGACTGCCTTAAATGTCAAAGTCGTTGCTTTTGTCACCTACTGCTTCCTCTGAGTGCTTGGCAGATGTTGGTCAGGGGCATGCAGCGGGATGCCTTGAGAGCCTTCCACCCTTGTGGGCTCATGAGAAGCCCTTGTAAGCACGCAGTCCCTAGGTTTGCATCTGACTCTGGGTCACTGGGTGGTTTCCTCTCTGCCACAGACCTTGGGGCTAAAGTACGGTCTCAGCCCAGTGAGTGAAAAGAGCCCTAGCTCTTGTGCTGGTCTGTTATTTTAGAAATAAGATCCCTCCTCTAAGCCTTATTTGCAAACCAGCTGCAATACTGTTGTCTTAGTCGGCTTACCCTGCCATAACAAGATACCACAGACTGGGTGGCTTAAACAACAGAAATGCATTTCCTCACAGTTCTGGAGGCTGGAAGCCTAAGATCAGGCTGCCAGATGGTTGGGTTCTGGTGCAGGCTCTCTTCATGGCTTGCAGTGACCACCTTCTTGCTGCATGTTCACGTGGCGGAGAGAGATCTCACTCTTGCTCTTGTTATAAGGCTACCAATCCTTTCAGACTCAGACCCCACCCTTACAACCTCATTTAACCATAATTACCTCCTAAAAGCCTTTTCTCAAAACACAGTCACATTGGGGATTACGGCTTCAACACATGAATCCGGGGGAGGACACAATTCAGTCCATAGCAACTGTCTTACCAACCTGAAACTCTACATGGCTCTAGAATCTCGACACAGGGAGATCATCCTGCCCTGTCTCTTATTTCACACATGTGAACATGAGCTCCAGAGAGATGCGAGGGTTTTCCCAAGACCACACAGCCAGTGTGTGGAAGAGTTAGAAAGAAAACCTCTCCTGTCTCCAGTGCTCTTCTAATTCATCTTAAATGTCTGGAAATGAAAATCAACAAGCATGTGTTTCTGTTCAATTCCATCCATATATGTCTTGTGCACCTAACACGTGCTAGGTACCCACAGAGACTGCGACGACACAACAATGATCACAGCACAATCTTTTAAGGAGCTCACAGTTTGGTGGGTCATGTTCCTAGTGTTGTCTTTACACTCCCTCCACTTCACCAGCACTTTTCTGTACTTCATGGTGAAAATATTTTTTTTAGGCGGGGTGACAAGTCTCGCTCTGTTGTCCAGGCTAGAGTGCTGTGGCGTCAGACTAGCTCACAGCAACCTCAAACTCCCGGGCTCAAGCGATCCTCCGGCCTCAGCCTCCCAAGTAGCTGGAACTACAGGTGCGTGCCACCATGCCAGGCTAATATTTTCTATTTTTAGTAGAGATGGGTCCTCACTCTTGCTCAGGCTGGTCTTGAACTCCTGATCTCAAGTGATCCTCTCACCTAGGCCTCCCAGAGTGCTAGGATTACAGGCGTGAGCCTCTACGCTGAGCCCACAGTTAAAATATTAACTCAATATTCTTTTGGGATAGGTGGGAAGAAAAAGGGAAGGAATCACATACCAGGCACTGGGCTAGGAACACTATATATTAATACATTGCCTTACTTGACACTCAAGCAATTTTCTAGGATAAGTACTATTATCCCCATTTTACAAATGATCCAGAGAAGTTAAAGAGCCCATGAAGTGATTGAGCTTAGACTTGAATTCATGTCTTTCCTCCAGTCCACATTGTTATTCTTTAGCTTTTTCTTTTTCTCATGGCAGCCCTCTTCTCCCTGCGGACTCTCTCATGTGCCCTTAGAATGCCTTTGACAAATAAGATCCCGCCAACACATAATACATCAAAAGCCCTGCCTGTCATTCCAGGGAACACGAATTCCAGGCTGAAGTTTCTCATTCTCACTTTCAACCCCGCTACACGTTCATTCCCACCACTCCTTCATGCCTCCTGCTTCTATTAGTTTTAAATAAAAGAAGGAAAACATTCTAAAGCCACTCTCTCAACCACGAGCTATATTTATCTCCCTAAATTTACTATATTCTAGGCTCTGAGCCTTCTCATACTGTACCCCAGGCCTCCCCAACCTCCTCACCCGCAACAAGACAGGCAGCCCCGGTCCTGTGAGCTCTTCCATCTGCTGAAGAGGAGCCGGGCCCCTGAGGCCGTGTCCTCCTGCAGCGGGCACCGGGATGCGCCCGCCCCCGCACCCCTCGGGGCTCCCGCTCCCGCCGCTGCGGCACCACGCTGCAGGCCGGTTCCCGTGCGCAGGCGTGGTCGGGTCCCGTGGCCGGTTCCCGTGCGCAGGCGTGGTCGGGTCCCGTGGTCGGTTCCCGTGCGCAGGCGTGGTCGGGTCCCGTGGTCGGTTCCCGTGCGCAGGCGTGGTCGGGTCCCGGGCCCTCCCGGGCCGGGTACAGTGGGGACAGCGAAAGCCGAATCGCTGCAAGCTGCTGTTCATGCGAGTCAGTCGGAAACAGACTCGATGCCCATCCCACCCAAAGAGGAACCAAAATCCAAAGAAATCGTCCGTAATGGACAGAAACCAAGCCGCACAGGAGCCCAGGCGCTCACCCGGCCTCTCCGCGGTCCGCGGCACCGCCCGCCCCAGCTGTGGTGGCCCGCGGGCTCCATGACCCGGCTCTACCTTTCTCCAAAATTTATCACACACTGCAGGTAGTGCCACTGTAGGCCCAGACGACACCACATCCCGGGACCGGTGTAACTTCTGGAACCGGTGTAACTTCCAGAACCGGTGTAACTTCCGGGCAAGGAAAACAACGGGAGCCTGCAGTGAGGTCGCCTTTGCTGCCGCTCTGGTCTAACTTCCCACCCTGGTTCTTACTGATGAGCAACCACCTGGTGCCTCCAGGAATGTTTACAAGGTACCTGTGAGTACTGCTGTTTACAACGTACCCATTACGTCCAGGTACTGAATCACATCCTTCACGAGGATTATCCTATCGATTCTTCAGAATAACTCAGGGAGACATGGACTGCAAATATCCCCATTGGAGAGGGAGACAGGCTAGAAAGGTTAAATAATTCCCCTAAAATTACATACACAGCTACTAAGTGCCAGAGCCTAGACTCACACCCAGTCTGTCCAGTTCCAGGGCCCACAGCGGCCCGCCCTGCAGGAGTGGTGTCCTGCTCCTCACCGGTCCCTGAGCCCTGCCCTCCATGCCCATCCCCTGAGTCCTGTCCCTGAGCCCTGCCCTCAATGCCAGTCCCCTGAGACCCGTCCCTGAGCCCTGCACGAAGCCTGCAGTGAGTCGCCTTCTTGTGGCCGTCTGGTCTAAACTTCCACCCTGGTTCTTTACTGATGACAACCCACCTGGTGCCTCCAGGAATGTTTACAAGGTACTGTGAGTACTGCTGTTTACAACGTACCCATTAGCGTCCAGGTAATGAATCACATCCTTCCACGAGGATTACATCCTATCCGATTCTTCAGAATAACTCAGGGAGACATGGACTGTAAATATCCCCATTGGAGAGAGGAGACAGGCCTAGAAAGGTTAAATAATTCCCCTAAAATACATACACGCTACTAAGTCCCAGAGCCTAGACTCACACCAGTCTGTCCAGTTCCAGGCCCACAGCGGCCCGCTGCAGAGAGTGGTGTCCCTGCTCCTCACGGTCCTGAGCCCTGCCTCCATGCCCATCCCTGAGTCCTGTCTGAGCCTGCCTCAATGCCAGTCCCCTGAGACCCGTCCCTGAGCCCTGCCCTCCATGCCCATCCCCTGAGTCCTGACCCTGAGCCCTGCCCTCCATGCCAATCCCCTGAGACCTGTCCCTGAGCCCTGCCCTCCATGCCAATCCCCTGAGACCCGTCCCTGAGCCCTGCCCTCCATGCCCATCCCTGAGTCCTGACCCTGAGCCCTGCCTTCCATGCCCACCCCTGAGTCCTGACCCTGAGCCCTGCCCTCCATGCCAATCCCCTAAGTCCTGACCCTGAGCCCTGCCCTCCATGCCCATCCCCTGAGTCCTGACCCTGAGCCCTGCCCTCCATGCCCATCCCTGAGTCCTGACCCTGAGCCCTGCCTTCCATGCCCACCCCTGAGACCTGTCCCTGAGCCCTGCCATCCATGCCTATCCCCTAGACCTGTCCCTGAGCCCTGACCACTATGCCCGCCCCCTGAGACCTGTCCTGAGCTGCCCTCCATGCCCACCCTGAGTCCTGTCCTGAGCCTTGCCCTCCATCCCATCCCCCTGAGACCTGTCCCTGAGCCCCGCCCACTATGCCCATTCCCTAAGTCCTGTCCCTGACCCTGCCATCCATGGCCCACACCCTAAGG